AACTGCTCAAATGCAACGATTCAAAACGATGCAACGAAATTTAGTTATCGCACGCCTCAGTATTTTTGTCACCGGAAATCGACAAACAATTCAATATCTTTTTTTTATGAATTACTTCCAATAAATCAACATAAATGAGGTTTATCTGAGGTCTGCTCTCGCTCCCAATGCTACTTCGGAAATCGATATGAAAAAAGAGCATTGATTATTGCAGAGTCTCAATCATTATCAAGGTCTTTGCAGCGATTTTGGAAATTTAGTCGTATGATGTGGCATGCAAAACGTATATAGCATTTGGTGTGATGCAGAGATGATTTTAACTTTATTTATTTATTTTTTGTTATTATTATTATTTTATTATTATTGTTATTATTATTGTTATTATTATTATTATTTATTATTATTATTATTATTATTATTATTATTATTATTATTATTATTATTATTATTATTATTATTATTATTATTATTATTATTATTATTATTATTATTATTATTATTATTATTATTATTATTATCATTATTATTATTATTATTATTATTATTATTATTATATTATTATTATTATTATTATTATTATTATTATTATTATTATTATTTTTTTTTTTTCAGAGATAATTTGAACTTTTTTCAGGAAATAAGTAATTATCTATGGTAAAAGGAATTATACGCGTATCATATACGACAGAAAAAAAACAATAACAGAAAAACGAATAATGATAGTGAAGGTGATGATGATGTAATAATACTAGTAATAAAACCAATTACTATAATTATGATGATAAATAATATGCCACAAAAAACGACAAAACACACACAAAAAACACTATACACAAATATGTTGCTGAATAAAATTTCCATCACCTTTTTTATCTTTTTTTATTTATTTATTTATTATCATTATTATCATTTTTTTACACGTTTTGCCATTCCTTCTCATACATAGTTATCCTCTCCCCTCACGAAATATCCTAATTACCCAGCGATTATCCACCTCATTATCCCATCAATGAGGATAATCATCATCCTAACGAAGCCATTTCATCACCAAGAATGTAATCCATATTCTCCGAATTCTTTGATCACCACAAAACATCGTTTATCCAGGCTCTCATTATTCTCTTTGTCTATTCTTAGCACTCTATTTATCACCGAATATCTCTTTGTGCATTTATTTTGTGTCTCTCTTCCTTTTTCACTCGTTTTTTTTCTCTCTTTGTGTTTCTGTTTCTGTCTGTCTGTCCTTTTCTTTCTCTTTCGCTTATTCTCCTACTTTACATCTCTTTCCCCTTCCGTTGATCCATCCTTTATTATCCTCCATTATCCATGCCCTTTTTCTCTCTCTCTTATCCTATCATCTCTCATCTCACCGTTTTCCTGTTCTATCTTCATCATCTACTCATGTCACAAATTTATCATCATTATCCTTATCCACACTCATTTCATCTTCCACGGCCAGGTTATCATAATTATCCTCATCTATACTTAATCTATAATTATTATCATCATTCATTATATTCTAATTATCCTAATCCTCTTTTATCATTATCCACATTCATTATCTTTATCACTATCCACACCCATTGTCTATCATTGTCATTTATCCACACTTAATCTATCATCTTATCGTTAATCCACACACAATCTATCATCCTTATCATTTATCCACACCCACACCTTCCATCACCATTTCTCATCCACACCTTTTATCACCTCTCTCTCTCTCTCTCTCCCCCGCTTCTCCTATCCACACCTTTTATCACCTTTCTCTCTCTCCCATTTAACACCCCCTCACCTCCTCTCTATCCGCACCTTTTATCACCTCTCTCTCTCCATGCCTTTTATCCCCTTCTCACTATACACACCTTTATCACCCCTTCTCATCCACACCTTTATCACCCCTTCTCATCCACACCTTTTATCACCTCTCTCTCTCTCTCTCCCTTCTCTTACCAAAATTTTTATCAACCCTTTTCCCTATCCACACCTTTTATCACCTCTCTCTCTCTCTCTCTCCCATTTAACACTCCTCCCCCTTCTCTCTCTCCCCCTCCCCACCTTCTCCTCTCTATCCACACCTTTATCACCCCTTTTCCCTATCCACACCTTTTAACACCTCTCTCCCACCACACCTTTTATCACATCCACACTTTTATCACCTTTCTCATCCACACCTTTATCACCCTTTTTCTCTATCCACATTTTATCACCTTTTCCCTATCCACACCTTTTATCACCTCTCTCTCTCTCTCCCCAGGTGTTTGCAGTGAGGATGAGGAGCGGTTGGTGCGAGATCTCTTCCGCGGCTACAACAAGCTCATTCGCCCCGTGGAGAACATGACTCATAATGTCCAGGTTATGTTCGGTCTCGCGTTCATACAGCTGATCAATGTGGTGAGTATGTGGGGGTTGTTGTGGTGGTGTTGGGGTGTTGTTTTTTTAATGTGAGTATGTGGGGGGGGGGGTGTTTCGTTAATGGTTGGTTTGGGAGGATTGGGAT